GCTACCAAATCTCAAAGCAAAATCTCTTAGTCCTCCCCAGCTCAACATAGCCAACTGGTTTACCCTGTAGAAATTAATACAGAGAATGCCCCAGGGAACAAGCCTTTTATGTACAGAGCAGACTTTAACAGCCAAGTAATTAAACCCTGAAAGTAAGGGCTCAGAATCAAAATGCTGACAAACCTGAACCGGAGCGGCACAAGGAGGGCTGCTATAATATTTTTACAATTCCTTTTTATACATAATGTATGATCCTTCTGCTCAAGTTTCCTCTATGTTCTTTGCCTGTGAAATAATTTACATTAATAAATAATTTATTACCATAACTCCTAAAGTAATTATGGGTTTCCATCCAATTTTTTTTAGCATATGAATTGTTTTGTTCTCTGTCCATTGACTTGTATTTACAAGACTTTTCCTAGTAGCCTTTTTAAGATAATTGCTATTGCCTTCGCTTTCTCACGTAGTATGTGATTTCCAGGTCCCCTCCTCGCCTGAGTGGTGAGGAAAATGGAATGTGTGGTGTCCATTGTCCCTACAATTCAAATGCACTGAATGGCTGCAATTAGCCAAGAGGGGTGAATGGAGACGGCGCTCACTCCACTTGCCCTGTTTCACCAAAAAAGATTAAACTAGTACGCGTGTGACCCCGGGTTCCCCACTGCAAATGGCAGAAGATCTGGAGGGAGCCTGGACAGAGTGCGCGTGCGGCTCCGCCTCTCCCCACACAGGATGCCGCTGAGCCACAGCCTGGGCCCCTCTTTTACCCACTAGAAATGAGAGCCAGGAGCAAGGGCAGGCTCCAACACCCAGCCAGCTGACCAGTGGGTGGGAGGCACCACGGAGCTGCCACCTGACCCGTTTCTTTCCTGTGTTGAGAGCACAAGACCCAGTCATATAAATGGCTCTTTCCCAGAGCAGCTTTGCAGAGGAAATTCCACTTCAGCAAAGAAGGTGGGCTGGGGATGCTCTGGGAGACGAGAAAGGAAGCCCAGAGTCCAAGCAGCCTCTGCTGGCAGGATCCCTGTGGCGGGGGCTGAGCTGGCACCCTCTTAAGAGGCACTCAGCCCTGTGCAGGACCGGCTGGGAAGCACTCAGCTCCACCCTCTCTGCTTCTCCCATCCACACTCCATGCTGGCTTTGTTCTCTCTTCCACACTGAAAAGCACAAAACCACTTCTCTGTAACAAGTTCCTAAACTGGGGTGGGGGACGGGGGTGGGGAGGGGCCTGGTATCCAGCTTGCAATCACAGGACGTGAAGTGCTTTAAAGAAAACAAAAAAAAGGATAGGCCAGGCGCGGTGGCTCACACCTGTAATGCCAGCACTTTGGGAGGACGAGGTGGGTGGATCACCTGTGGTCAAAAGTTCCAGCCCAGCCTGACCAATATTGTGAAACCCCGTCTCCACTCAAAACACAAAAATTCGCTGGGCACAGTGGCAGACGCCAGTAATCCCAGCTACTCGGGAGACTGAGGCAAGAGAATCGCTTGAACCCAGAAGGCGAAAGCTGCAGTGAGCCGAGATTGTGCCATTGCCCTCTAGCCTAGGCAACAGAGTGAGACTCTGTCTCAAAAATAAATAAATAAATAAATAATAAGGCATTGTTGTGAGCACTCCCTTATATTAATTACGTGTTTTATCTAAGCAGGTATAGAGGAGGCCGAGCTACTTGAAAAGGTGACATTTTAAGAAACAATCAGGATGCTGTGCTCCTTGCCCTAATGCACTTGCACAGATTTTCTGCAGAACATTTGTGAAATTTGAACTCATACTGGCTTCCAGCGAGGACGGTGGCATGGGGGCTCAGGAGGAAAAACTCCTGAGTCACAGGGCCAACTGTCCCCAGCTCTCCTGGGAGAATTCCACTGCTCGGCACCAGAACACGGGTCCTTTATCTTCAGGGGACAGGCTGCAGGGTTGGTGATTATGATAATTTGGTGTTTTATCTTTACACAGCATTGTCCAGCACTGGAAGGACCCAAAACCCTCTTGAAAAGTCCAGCCGGCCCCTCAGAGTATTCTCTTCCCCACTGTGGAAAAGCAGGCACATCGGGCATGGTGGCTCACGCCTGTAATCTCAGCACTCTGGGAGGCCGAGGCAGGTGGATCACAAGGTCAGGAGATCGAGACCATCCTAGCCAACACGGTGAAACCCCGTCTCTACTAAAACTATAAAAAATAACTGGGCATGGTGGAATGGGCCTGTAGTCCCAGCTACTTGGGAGGCAGAGGCAGGAGAATCGCTTGAACCCGAGAGGTGGAGGTTACACTGAGCTGAAATCGCACCACTGCACTCCAGCCTGGCAACAGAGTGAGACTCCGTCTCAAAATAAGTAAATATACAATAAAATAAAAACAGGCCACCTGAGATGTAGTCTCGCTGCCTGGGGGGCACTCCCAGTTCACGGAGCACAGGGAGGGCTGGAGAGGTCACCCGAGCTTCCACTTGACAGAGTGGGCAGGGCAAGGCCCCTGACTGCTGACCCCCACCAGCAAGTGCAGGAAAGGGACAAAGGCAGGAGGGAGGATGTGTGCTAGCGCGTGGCCGTCTCCTTAAATCCCCACAACTTGCAAGCTGAGGAAACCTAGCCAGGATGACAGGGCGGTGTCCCCATAGCTCAAGGGCCTCCACGCTCACGGACGCCAGCCTAAGCCGTGCAGAATCCACCGTTATTGATCTTTCTCCTCCATCAGACAGAAATCTCCTCGAGGGAAGGGGCAGGGTCTGATCCACTCTCTCCCTCGGCAGGTGCCTGACACACAGCAGGCACTCATGTCGTATCTACGACAGCAAGCCATGAAAATGCAAAGGCAATGCAATGGTCACTCAGTGACGCACGGGCAGGGTTTGGGTTTTCCTGAATCAGGGAGGGGCTGAGCAACAGAAAGACGAGGCCCATGGGAGAGAGAGCAGCAGACGAGAACAAGAGGTCTCCAAAGACCCCCAGAGGCTCCCTGCTTCTCCCTCTGCTGCCTGGCAGTGTCCTGGCATTGCCCCACAGAGCAGAAGGAAGACAGGATCCTGCTGAAGAGAAGCAGCGCCTAGGACGGAGGCCCTGGCATCCAGCCAGCACGTCCTGAAGAGCCACTCTGTAAACAGGAGTCTGGAGACTCAACACAGTCCCTCCTGGAAACCATGACCTCCCCGGCAGGAAGCAGGCTGCTGGGCTCTGCAGCCTCTGACAGACTCTCCAGGGTAAGCTGGGCTTCTCCCCCCGACACCTCCCTTCCCCGGGGCCTCTGCCTCAAGACCTGCCCCTACAAGGGCATCTCTCTCTCATCACAAACCCACCAGACTTCTACCTTATAACTTACACAGTGCAAAGATCAGAAAGCCTTGAGCAGCCTTGAAATAAAGAGCAACGCCTCCACAACCCAGTTTACTGGTCTGGCCCAGCTGACAGCGAAAGTCTAGGCAGGATTGAGGGGTTAGGCATGCCGGGGCCTCTCTCTCTTCCCCAGGCATGACACAGGAAGGAAGCTCAAAGGTGAGGCTGTCCAGGAAGCAGGCAAAGAGGGAGGCTTCTGAGCTATGTGTCTGGGGCGCTGAGGGTTTGCTGAAAGCTGTAAACCACCAGGGAGGTATTCAATCCTGTGGGAAGAGGCCTCAGAAGTTCTATGTCGCACGGTAAGCCAGGCCAATGGATCTCCCTGTCTCCAACTTCCTCAGTGGTAGCGTCAGGAGCACCCCCAGGTGTCCCAAGAGCCAGGGCACGTGGTGGAGAAGAAAACCATCTTCCTTCACCACCCACCTGAGTCCAACTCTGCCTACTGAGGAACCTCGCAGAGGGGCACCTTGCTAGACCTTCGTTCTTCCATATGTAGATGAAGCCACTGGCAGAGCTGGCGGGGCCCTGCATGTAAGGAGACTGGCACAGTGCTCAATCTGACACAGTGGCGCCCTCCATCGCCTCATCTATGGGGACTGTATCTAAAGAAGAAAAACAAAACACCATAGGTGGAGGGAAAGGACAGAGAAGGAACGGCAAGGGAGATTACAAGGTCCGACCAAAGTTAACTGGGAATCTGAAAGGCCACAGTAGTCACCCAATCACCCAAGAGTGGCTTCGGAGTCCGAGCAGACGTTATGGAAACTCACCCTGCAAGACGTCCCCAAAGGTGGGCAAGGAGAGCCAGTGAGAGACAAGTGAGAGGTGAAACGACACCCAACCAGCTGAAGCATCAAAAAAATCAATATAATCAATAGTCATCTTTTTTTTTTTTTTACCTCCTGTAAAAACAGTAATTCACACCTGCACAGAATCAGAAGATGAAGGCAATCTTCTCTGGAAGGCATGTGAGCAATATGAATCAAGAGCCTTAACAATGCCCCTGCCCTCCAGCCTGTCTATTCCACTCCTGGAGACTATCCTAGCAAGGCAGACAAAGACTTACGCACTGACATAGTCACTGTTCATCCCAACAGCAAACAGAACGGCCCCTTGACCGCACAGCCTAGCCACAGTTACATCGCTAAAGACATTCTGATGCATTTACTACACAACGCAGTACTAGAGACGATTCGAATGAACAATTTTAATGCTGCGGGAACATGATGGTAACCGCTCCAAGTGAAAAAAGCAAACGAATATAGTTTTACATAATTACATGTTCAACATGGAGTGGGCTATATAAAAAATGCTAACAACATAAACACACAAAAATATCAACAGCAACTCTCCCTGGGCACTGAGTCCACGAGAAAGTTTTGTTGCATGGTTTACACTATTGTACATTTTCTGAATGAATAAAATCAACATGAATTACTTTAATCATCGGACAGAATTTCTCAATGTTAGAGTTGTAAACCACACAGCAGTAGCCTGTCCCTTCACTCAAGACACTATAGGGGACCAAAATAGTTAAAACACTCAGAAGAGTCCCCGAGGCTGCTCTTTTTGAACTTGTGTCCAGAAGGTGCTTTGAGCGTCTCACCTGGAAGACTCAGACCCTGGCTGGAAGGGCTAGGACGGCTCCCAGGACGGCCTTGAGTACTTACCCATAATTCCACAAGAGAAAAGTGTAGGTCCTTGACTCATCTTCTTTGGCGTGTGCTGAAAACAACCAGAAAAGCTATTCACTCTTCAAGTCATAGGAAGCATGTTTGCACTGACTCTGTACTGATCCCTTCTAAAGTCATAATAAAAGGGTGACCGTCCTTTGCCAATGTCACATCAGGGAAAGGAGGAAAAGGTATTCAAAGATAAAACATCTGCACAGAACTAGGCCCACACGTTTTTGTCCCAAGTCTCCAGTGAGGTAAGGAGTCCATTGAGTTAACGGGCTTCTAAAACACACAGAAAGCCCCAGGACCTCTGACACGAGGGGATTTTTCTACACGAGTGAGGTGGAGGCAGCCCAGGGACGGGGTGGATGGTAAACAGTGGAACAAGCTTCCGTGAGCTGGGCTGAGAAGAGACCAAGAGAGGAGGGAACCTCCCTGGGGACATGAAGAACCTCAAGTAGGGAGCAGGGGGCCCCAGGTCACACTCCAAGACCCCTCCCTTCCAGATTCAGGGACAACAGCTCTCCCGCTCTGGTGAGAAGCATGGGGAGAGCTCGGGAGGCCTGGCCTCTGCTCTGCAGGCTGCTTTGTGGCTACATCAAGGCCCCCTCAGGCATTTTCTCTGAACTGAAACAGAAACTCAAGGGTTGTATTTGGTCTCCACATAGCAGCTCTGGCTTTTGAACTCCTTGGTACCGTAGTTCCACAGTGGCTTCCCTTTCCACCGTCAACACCTTACGTCTTCCCTGATGCCCCATGCTACCCTCAATCGAACCCTATGGCCATTGGGCAGAAAACAGGCCAACAAGGCCCCGAAGAACCCCAAATCCAGGGCACTTGCTCCATGGCTACACAGTGAGCTGCGTGTGGAATATTCTGGGGGTTTCTCATGCTAGGTGACACCCAGGTCAAGAGGCTTGCTCTGTCCTCTCATGAGCCAGAGCCCCAGGAAGCTGCTCGGTCTCAAGTGCTCCGAGGCTCCCTCACTCGCTCTCTCAGTGGGCACAGGCTGGTGATTCTCTCTGTGCGGGCTATGCTAGGGCTGATCGTGCAATGGTGAAAGCAGCTCTCAGCCCTAGAGAAATCAGCCTGTCACAGAAGGCTCTAACTTCTGAAAGGAACCCCCAACACTCCCCATCAAAATGACATGAACAGACAAGGCTTCTGGGAAGTAGGCAAGGGCCCAGGTCCTGGCTCTTTAAGGCCTGGCAGGAGGCTGACTAGGAACGGCTGGCCCATCCAGCTAAGAGGGGGCAGGCACCTGGCACCAGCTCCCTCACCCCATCCCCATCTGCCCAATCTGGGGACCTCTGCACCAGGTCAACAGTGTGTTCATCCCACAGGGTTACCAACAGTGCATTGTGCCCAACCTGGGGACACAGAGGTAGAGAGGGATCACTCTTTATGGAAGATAGTCACAAACCACGGGGAGATGGGGGCTGGAGGGAACGTCAAGGGAAGCGTGCTGGGATGAGGGTGGAGGTCGGGGTAGCCTCCTGCAGGGAATGCCTAGACTGTGCTGAAGAACCGCAGGAGCTTACAGGGCTGAAGGGGAAATGGGGCAGTCTCCTACAGGTCACCCTCCTCAGTTTAAAATGATCCAAACAATACCATTAGGCCAGGTCACCCTCCTGGATTCCACAGCGACGTAACCATTCCCTCTACCGCCATCTGTGGGAATATCTGGAAAGAATTCAAAACGGCTACACCTGCTTCCCCCCATCCCCTCCACACGATCCCAGCTAAGAGGTGCAGCTGAGACCATACCATAGTCATCCCATGGACAGTGGGTGACACGTGCATGAGAGCCTGCTGCTGGGGCTGCCTGCATAGTGGAGAGCTCAGCCGGTGGATGCCAGGCAGGCCCCCGACTCTCAGGCTCAGAGAGGGAAGGCGGGCCGGGGCCTCACTTGCCAAGGGAGGCAGTTCCCAGTACTAAGCAAGCACCTGGGTGCAAGGAAAACACCCCCTGGGAAACCCCGGTGGCCCCAGCCCTGCACCTGCCAGGTGGGCAAAGGCAACCCAGGCTGGGAGCCCGCAGAGGCCACACCAGGATGGGGGCTGGGGAGAGCAGAAGACAGCAGGAACACTGGCGCACCCTGTGCGCTTCACTGGCATGCGTGGAGGAGGGTTTGGGGTTTTCCACACCGACGCAGGAAGCCACAGACTGAGCTGCCCCAAGTCTGGCCAGCAGAACAGTGCTTGCTGGCCGCCTCTCACCAAGCCGGCTTGTTCTCGATCAAAGGGGATCTCAGGGCCCTCCTGACCCAGGCCCTCACAAGGAACGTTGCCAGAGATGCTGGGGTCGGTCTGCCTGCTGAGGCAGCACTGGCCCAGCACACAGAGCACCCTAGGCACTCGCTGATACTCGACTTGCTCATTCTTTCATTTAATGAGGACTTGTCGGCATCCGCTGCAGGTCCCCAGAGTGGCCTGTCATTTCCAACCTGGAAAACACACTCCTCGACACCCCACCACTGGCCCTGATCCCAGCGCTGCCAGCCCCAGTAACACCCCTCCTAACCGCTCTTATAGCCTGTGCCCTCGGCCCCCATTCCCCACCCTCCACCCAGAGCCCAGATCGGACCACACCATTCTGTTCCACCAACTTCCCACTGCAACCAGAATCAAATCCAGCCGCTACCTCTCCTCCACAGCCTACATGGCCCCATACGAGCCAACCGGAGTGCCCCCAACCTTGCTCCGGCCCTCCCCGCCTCACTCACTCCACCCAGTGGGGCCAGGCCAGTCAGTGCCATCTCAGGGGCTTTGTGCTGGGATTGTCACGCAGCAGGCTCTGCACTGTTCCTGTCCCGCAGCCTCCTCAGTGGCCTTCCCGGATCATCCTAGCTAAAGTAGTGCCTCCTGCCACATGCTTCTCTCTCCCATCGCCTCGATTAATGAACACGGTAGTTACTGGAACATGTGTTCCTCTACTGATCCTCTGCTCCATGGGAACGGAAGTTTCTCGAGAAAGGAGGGCTGTCTTGGTTCCAACATCCCAGCAGACAGCAGGTACCACTGCCACAGTCGCCTGCCAGTGCCAGCCTCAGTCCTGCGGCCACACCCCCAGTGGATGGCAGGCAATGGAAATGGATGTTCACTGGGCAGAAGCTACTGCCTCCCAAAATCGCTGGCCTTGTGCCAAGTCAAATCTCAGTGGGGAAGAGGTGAGAGGCCAGCCTGAGTCAGAGCTGCCTGCAGGCCGGCCTGGCCTCCGCATGTGGTCTCCAACACTCTACCTAAGGGTTCCCGGAAACTAGCAATGGTGTACACCTTTCCAACACGCAGGAACGACGTCTCCATATCCCCATCCCAGGTGAGCCAACTGCCTGCCCCTCGCACTCAACAGATGAAGCCACAGCCCAGGGGTGCAGCCCCCTATTGTCATCAGCACCCCAATTTTGAACTGGGGTATCTTCATGCGAACTGGATCGTGTCTTAGTGGGACTGTCAGCCAACGTGCCTCTACCTCTCCTGGTCCCAGGCTGGGCCCAGAACTCAGGCCTGGCTGACCAGACACTGGCTCCATGGCTGACTCCTGACCACAGGGCTGGGGCTGATTAGCCCAGCAGCAAGGCCCTGAGCCTGCCCGTGCGCACCCATTCCAAACTGCTCCCAGCCACTCCAGCCCTGCCCTTTCTGAGGCCCAACTTGCCCCCCTCCTCTCTAGCCCTGCAAGCTCTCCCTGTGCTCCAGAAAGTTCTCTTTTGGGGTGAGTGAGCTGGAGATGGCCTCTGGAGCTGACAAAGGAGGAACCCTGACTGATTTTATGCTTGACCTCGAGACCAGACCAGGGCCCGTGTCTTGCTTTCTGAGCCCCCATCTGTGAGGCTAAGCCAGCGGCGGCCAGGCCAGAACGTCATGTACCAACAGCTTCCCAGGGCACCAGGCCCAGCACACCCTGACCAGTGGCAGGTCTCCCTGGTCCAACTCCACAGGGGCAAAGCAGCAGATGTCCCGCCTGGCTCTGGGTTAGCCAGGGCGTTTCTCCCCCGGATACCAGTACAGGCTAACATTCCCACTGGTGTGTGCCGTTCCTACAGCCGGCCTTTCCAGGCCTTTGAACCTCCGGCACCCACAGTGGGGAGAATGAGCCCATCCCCGAGTGCAGGCCCAGCAGGCCCGAGAGAAACTCGGCCCTCTGAGGTTTCCCAAGACACTCAGTGTCTGCACGCGGCGAGCGCCCGAGCCCTAGCTGAGGTCTGCAGTGAAATCAGACCACAGCGCGTTCCCCTTTTGTCTCCCACTGTGAAGCCTCTGTTCCCAAGCCCACCCCGGGGCAGGGCCTCATCTCTCTGAGACTCCTCAGATGACGAGAGAAGGTTTTTGGAATTAGATCCTCGTAGGAAAGGCAAAAGCTGGAAATCAAATGGAGGCTTCAGGGCCATCTGTCTGACTAAAGAAAGCAGCCCTGGCGTAAATAAAGACACAATTAAGGCTCCAAATGAGGAACTGGCCCTGCAGAAAATGCCAGGCCACAACCACGGTTCTTCATAACTTTCCTCTGCACGTTATCAGCTAAAGCAATCAAGTGGCCTTTTTCATCTCCTGACGTGGCATCACAGGGGCCACAGCGTGACAGGGGGAAGCTCGCACTCATGCCCTGCAGGGGAACGAGCAGGACACCCACACTTCCAAAATGGAACCCCGCAACACTGTGGCAGCCGAAAGCAAAAAGGAGATCCAGGCCTGAGACTAGAACCAGAAGCCGAGCGAGGAACAGCGCCTTCAGGCGAAGGCTCTCAAAATGCTGATGGAGATCCAGTGGCCCTGACTCCCGGGACTCCGGGGTGAGCCAAAGCATGGGCAGGCCCCTTGGTATCTCTACCTGCCCAGGGTGAAGGGCATCAGGCTGCCCGGGACCCTGTGCACTCCTGAGCTCTAACTTCAGGCTGGCCTTGGGCCTGCCAGGGATCACGGCTGGGGCTGTGAGCGCAAAGGGCCAACTTAGCATGGCCCAAAGTATGAAGAACCCCAGTGCCCAGGCAACTGGTGCAAGCCCCGACATGGCCACTAACTCCTCAGATGAGGAAAGTCATTTAAGCCCTGGCATCCTCATCTGACAAGTGCAGAAGGAAGTGCTTTTCTATCTACCAGATCAGCCCCTCCAAAAGACCAGCGTCGATTGCTATGGGGAAAGTCAGGCCTCCTGGAGCCACACACTGCCCTCTGCCCAGGGGCAGCCAGCCGTCAGCTCCCTTCAGTCTTCAGCCTTGAGGGAGGATGGGCGACTGGCTGCAGAGAGAACGGGCCTGGCCAAGGGAGGTGGTCACTCTGGAAACAAGGGAACAGGCCCTTGGCCCGAGTGTGGGCGTGCGGGAGGGAGCACAGTGCTCCAAGGTCAAACGTCTGGGCTGCCTTCCAGGGAGCAGCTCATGTCAGAACACTGGAAGGAAGAGCCCACTCGGCAGAGGACAGCACCGGGCAGAGTGGGGAAAGGGGAACTGGCCCCAGCCATGGCTGCCGGCAGTGCAAGCAAGGCCAGGGTCACAGGCACAGCCTGAGCCTCAGGGCCTTCTCTCCCTGGCAGGTGGGCCCTGTGCTGGGAAAGGCAAAATGCTGAGCACTGGGCCTTTTCTCCCTTTTTTCCTACACCTTTGAGAAAGAGACAGCTGTGTTATCAGCATTTAGTTTTTTTTAAACGGGGGGAACCAGAGGACCATGGTATGAACCCCCAAGAAGGCAGGGAGGGAGACCATGTTCCCAGGCCCCTCAACTGGCCTCAGGGTTGGCCACGAGCTCCTCCCCCAGTGCCACATGACACCCAGGGTTGCGAAGTCCCTGCGACTTTCCTGCCTCTGTGACTGAGGCCCGACTCTGGGGACCCAGGGTGAGCTGCGCCTCTGGGGCCTGCTCCCGTAAGGCCAAAGTGCCCGTCCTGACCAGTCCTGGCCTCCCGCACGGTCATGTTTTCTTTCTAAATCTGAAACCTTCAACTGTTATCTACTTAGTCTGATTAGAAAACAAAAGGCAAATTATTTTCCATCGTTCCTATTGTTATCTTGATGGTATTTACAGGGGGATGATGTTACCCATTTAGGAAGCTAAAGCAAAACCCCGTCCACTTCCTCTGAACCTGTGCTGGCTGTTCAAAGCAAATGCTAGCATCAGCTGATCTCACATTCTGTCCTGCGGATGTCATCACTAGACTGAGATTATTTTCGGTATTTCTTCGGTTATTTACATCGTGTGTCTCTCCCCAAGGCCTGGAGGGGCTCCAAGGTGATCACAGCCTCTGGAACAGGGCCCATGCAAGAAGGTGCTGGGGAAGCAGACAGGGCCGGAACTTGAAATCTGTGACCAGGGCAGCCCCTCCCTGGGCTCTTTGAGTCCCAGTTTTCCGTCTGTATAATAGGGTAGAAATGGGGACACCCCTGCCCCGCAGCAGGCGGCGTGAGGCTCAAGGACGGGGAGTAAGCACTTGGGCCTCTGAAAGCGCCCTCCTGATCATACAGTTTGGAGGTATGTCCCCTCCAAATCTCATGCTGAAATGTATCCCCCAGTGCTGGAGGTGGGGCCTGGTGGGGTGTTTGGGTCATGGAGGCAGATCCCCAGTGAGTGGCTCAGCGCCATCCCCATGGTAATCAGGGAGTTCTCACTCTTCTGGTTCATGTGAGGGCTGGTAGTTTCACGGGTCTGGCACCTTGTCACTTCCCTCCTGCTCCCTCTCTCCCCTGTGACAGACCTATGTTCCCTTCACCTTTTGCCATGACTGGAAGCTTCCTGAGTCCTCACTAGAAACAGATGCAGATGCCGTACTTCTTACACAGCCTGCAGAACCATCGGCCAAGTGAACCTCTTTTCTTTATAAGTTACCCCGCCTTGGGTATTCCTTATAGCAACACGATACGGACTAATACACTTCCCAGGACCCTGAGCACAGCCGCACCCCGACACCCTCCTGCCGGCCCACACTGCACGGCAGGCAGCATGAGCTGGGCCGGGCCAGGTGCTGACACTCACTCAGTGTGTTCTGAGTGCATCGGCAAAGGGAGCAGCAAGAAGGCCCCTCTTCGGCAGGGCTGCTCCCCACAACGGACCTCTCATCTGGGGCCAAGGGAGGAGAAGAGGAGGAGGAGGACCACAGATGGGCCCGAAGCACCGCACACTGGGTGGTTCTGGGCCGGACAGGCCAGTAACAAAACGCAGCGAAAGGCGGCTTTCCGACAAGGCCAGGGAGAGTTCAGGAAGAAGGCACAGATTCTAACCTGGGAGGCAGCAAGAGAGCACGTGGTGGAATCCCTTCCAGCAAAGCAGCCTGCTGTCCCCTGACCACTGTCCTTTTCTGAGAAGATGAGTTTTCCTTCCCTGGCTAGGGCTGGGAGGCCGTGCTCCTCCTGGCAGGGCTCAGGCCACATCTCTTGGCAGAGCACCTCAGCTAACCTTGCGCCCACATGTCCTGGAAGCAGCTCTGAAGCCAACACCAGGCAGACCCACCTCGAGAAGGGATCAGGCAGAGAGGCGGCCGCTGCAGCCAACAGCACAGCTGGGCCCGGGCAGGGCTCCTCCTTCGGGCCCTCCAGTGGCTCCTCAGCCTTGAGGTCACCTCTTTTTGGTTAGTCACCTCTAGTCACACCCACTCCGTTGTGACAGCAGCCAGACAGTAAGACAAAGGAGAAAGCAGCACCAGGCCCCAGGAGCCGCACGCTCGTCCATCCACAAACATCCGCTGAGCACCTGCCACGCGCTGGGCCCCGCGCATCCCGCCATAAGCGAGCGAGGCAGCCCTGCCTTCACACGGCTCCCCTGCTAGTACAAGGACTCGGTCAAGACCCACAGGGCCATGTTTAAAAGTGCTAAGTGCCTAAGAGGGAGGAGGACAGGAAGAGGGGCAGGTGTGTGGGGATAAGGGTAGGCGCTGGGGTGGGACTGTCCTGGAGGTGGAGAGGTCAGGGAGGGAGGGAGGGAGGGAGGGAGGGAGGGAGGGAGTCCTGCTGCGGGGAGGCCGCTCCAGGCCAAGGAAAAAGTACAAAGGCCTGAGGCAGGCGCACGCTTCGGCATGTTGGAACAGGGAGGCCAGTGGGGACTGAGCAGAGTGAGGAGGCAGAGTGCCAGGGATGGGGTCAGAGCGGTCACAGGGACAAGAGTACATGGGGCCACGTGCATCCTAGGAAGGACCGGGTGTCTGCTGAGCATGCAGGGCAAAGCCAGTGGAAGGTTCTCCAGAGGAGGACAGCTCTGACTGCGACTCTCTCTGGCTGCTGGGTGGAGAAGAGGTTAAAAAGAGTCAGAGGCAGGGAGGGGGCCAGTTACCACAAGAATCCAGGCGGGAAGACAGCAGGCGGAACCAGGGTGGCGGCAGTGGGGCTGGTGAGAAGTAACCTCGTTCCACGGTAGACGTGAACTGGAAAGGCGGGGTGGTGGCAGAAGCACTGAATGGTCACGGCAGCTCTACTCCCGGGTTCAGGGACCGAGGCTGCCATCGAGCAAACACAGCTCAGGTGCCTGCTGTCTGCCCTGCCCCGGCAGGGCTGGGCAACAAGCAGGAGCACAGCTGGGTCCCTATCCTTGCAACTGGGGGCGACACCCCGTAGCCACCTCACCGGCTGAGGCCCACGAGCAGAGTGGCACCAGTGCCACGCCTGGGAAGGGCTGGAGAGACCTGACAGGGAGGGCCGCCGAGACTGGCGTCCAGATCCCAGGCAGCCGGCCCAGGGGGTGGGGCCGGAGGGAGGGGAGGCGGAGCCGGGGAGCCAGCTCCAGGTTGCAGCTGCCTCCTGAGGCTGGGCCCAACGGTGTCTAAGCCACTTCTCACCCTTCAAGGCCAAATCAAGTGTCCCTGCTCTGCAAGGCTTTCCCTGGAGTGCTACAGCCAGGCCGGCCCTGCTGCCCTCCACGCCCTGGGCTGCCCACGGCCTCAGCTGGAGCTCTTATTCCTGGGATCCTCAAGTGTCGCTGTATTCACAGCTCTCCAGACACCCTCCCTCTAGACCCAGAGCTTCTCAGGGGTGAGGAAGGCACGGCCTGGCTCCGTCTCAGCCTATTCCCTCCAGCCTAGTGCTCAGCACACGGAAGGCGCTCTGTGAGGCCTGTGCAAAGAACACAGATCTCGGTGGCTTTCCCACGCTCCTGCCACAGCCAGAGACCTCGGTCTATCTGCCCGAGGCCTGGTTTCATTGGCATGAGACAGGGGAAGGGGGCCCACCAACGAGGCTTAGCGTGGGTCCTCAGGAGGGCCTATGAAGGGTGCCAGGAGGGGTCCTGGGCGAGGTGACCCTGGCAGTTGGCCCCTTTCTGACCACAGAAGCTGCGGAGAGTTCCAAAGACTGGCCCATCTGTGAAACTCGCCCACAAGACCGCTTATGACTGAGCGTGACTTCTCACCCGCTCCGTGCCCACTCGCATCTGAGGAACGGGGCCTGGAAGGACAGGTCTGCCGACCAGGTTCAGCTGTTGGAGGTGGCTTTGCTCACGGTCTCAGACAGCCAAGTTACCTCCCTCTCTGCCCTATCCACCACAAGGTCAGGGTGGTCCAGGCTGAACCATCTCTGGCAGAGGGTAGCTGCTGCCACAGCCCACACAGCCTTCCCCATCTCCTCCCACTCTCCATGTTCCCAGGCAGCAGCTCTTGGGCAGCACCACCCCAGAGCTTATCTGGGCCCCCATTCAGGGAACCACCCTCCTCTGGAAACCACCTCCCTTAAGGGGTGGAGACCGGCAGCAACCACGCTTGCTGCTCTTTAGCAGCGGATGGTCTCCCCTCCTCATTCACCAGGTGACCTCAAATCTCAGCTGAGCTCCTTCCTTCCAGCGAGTTCTCAGTCAAGGTCTGCTCCTGTGCCCTGTGGCCCTGTGGCCCCAGCCCGGGACACCTCACGGAGCTTTGCTCTTGGGGGCTCTGGACACAGTTTGCTAAACCTGGCTGCTCAGTCCACAGCCCTATCTGTACATCAGGCCTCAAAAATGGTCAGGGAAAGCAGGTCCTCACCAGTTCAGGGCTGAAGGTCGCGCATGCGATGGAGTCCGCTCCCCGGGTGCTGAGGCTTTCACTTAGGATCATCACCATGATAAGGACCTCAGGTGCTGGGCTCCATCCCAGGGTGGGCATGAGCCATCTTCACTTGGGCAGATTTGGGATGCGTACCTCCTGAATTGATGTCAGCAGAAACGGCTTCCCACTGGCCACATCCCCTTGGGGTGGGACCTTCTGGGAAATGGCCAAGTGTGGTCAACTCCCTGGAAAGGCAAAAGAAACGCAGAAAGATTCAGGACTAAGGAAGACCGGGGCCTTGAGAGTCACCCCTCCCATGGTCCTGGAAACCCCATGGAACTGGAACCACCTCTCTGCTAAAGAAGATGCACTCTGGGAGAGTCACTAAGGCCCAGAGTTACCTTCTCAGAGGCCCCGCATCCCTGCCATGCCAGCCTTGGGCTGCCTCATTTGTAAAATGGCCTGATGGGCAGAACAGATTGGGGTCCAGCGACATGATACCTTGAAGATCTATCTCAGGGTCTGGGTGGCTAACAATCCCCTGTCCCTGCAGTGTCCTCAAGTCATGTGACATCCTAGCACTGAGGTGGCTTGCCAGGCAGCTTCAGCACACACCAGGAGGCACTAAAGCAGGCCAAGGGTCGGAACACGCCTCATCCCCGCATCCAACGCCAAAGAAGTCGGCCCTCAGGCAGCCAAGTGGCAGCAGGGGACTGGCAGTCAGCATGCTGGCTCCCTTCCCTATCTAGTTATGAACAGAAGCTACTGGAACAATCAGGAGGGTCCATTTAAAAAGGCATACATTTGGCTGGGCGTGGTGGCTCATGTCTGTAATCCCAGCACTTTGGGAGGCCGAGGCAGGTGGATCACCTGAGGTCAGGAGTTCGAGACCAGCCTGGTCAACATGGTAAAACCCCATCTCCACTAAAAATACAAAACAATTAGCTGGGCGTGGTGGTGTGCGCCTATAATTGCAGCTACTGGGGAGGCTGAGGCAGGAGAGTCGCTTGAACCCAGGAGGCAGAGGTTGCAGTGAGCCGAGAACGCGCCACTGTACTCCTGCTTGGGCAACAAGAGTGAAACTCCGTGTCCCCCCTCCCCCCAAAAAAGGCATACATTTCTTGTCCTTGGAGGTGCCACATTTCAACATCAACATCTTTGCAACACTGGGGGGCCTTCAGAGCTTTGTCATCTTCCCCAGAATGAACTCAACTAAGTAGGCTTCCAGCAGTGATGGGACCCACTCTGCATCGCCATTCTGCACAGGCCATCCACTTCCCCTCTCCGATAATCCGCCATCATTTCCCAGCAAGCAAATGAAGAAAGAGCACACAGCCTTTGGTTCGGGTTTGAAAAATCCCTCCTTACAAACTCATGTCTCTGATTCTATTTCCCCATGCGGCTAAACCTTCAAAGAAAGTCACACAGATAGAAGGAATCTGAAGATCACCATCGGAAAGTAAGAAATGACCATGATAATAGTATCAAACAGAAAAGAGCTCCTAATCTGTCATCAGAAACAAACTGTTCAACACAGGAAAATGTTTTAGAATCTGCTGCTGTGTAAAAATTAATTGCACCCTGGTATTTACTTGCTGTCCAGATTGTAAATCATATTTTCCTGTTTACTTCGATTAGACTTTACAGTGGGTGTTATTGAAATTGCTCAATTACAGGCCAGCTGGCAAGCCACAGGAAAATTACCTTCTACTGTTCTTCGAAAACAAGGTTCATCCAAAGTGCAAAAGCAGGGAAGGGGAGGAGGGAAATCAATACATGTTCCAAGGCTTGACTGTTCAGGAAGGGCACCCAGGGGAATCTGAGGATTCCCAGGTCGCACTGAGAGACCTGATGCACAGGCTCAATACCACATTGATGCCGGAGTGACATGCTCTCACTAAGTGTGATCTGCTCAAGGAAAGAATTTCAGACCACTCCTCCAAGTTCTGGCCAGGCAGCTGAGCCAGAAACGCCTGTCAGCAACCACTGCAGGCTTAGCTCTGGAACAGGCCAGAGAGGTGCTCCTGGACTTGCCTTTCAAAGGAGCCTTTTGTGCCTCCTCGGTGGTGGAGGCCTAATGGCGGCCGTCATCTCTCTGCATGTGAGCCCCAATTCAGTTCTAGGGCAGCCAGTCATTGGCACAAGGCCTGGGAGGTGAGCTGCCTGTTCCCTCCTCCCCCATTTCCATCCTCTCTAGGAAGCCAGATGGGCTCAGCAGCTACAGGCTCAGGTCCTGAGTCAAGCACAACCGGATTGGAATCCCAGCTCCTGAAATATATGGCTTGAGGGGGCTTTGCCAAGTTACTCTCTGAGCCTCAGTTTCCCTCTCTATAAAACAGGGAAAATGGTGCCTGCCTCACCAGGTTACTGTATCTGATGAAAACAGCGCCCAAGTCCTCCGCTCAGTGCCCCGCTCACGTGGGTGAGTGCTCAATCAACAGCAGCTACTGCTAGCAGTTTCATGGGGGAGGCTGGGAGTCCGGATCCTCTTCCCAGCCACAGATGTCCAAGCAGCCATCCTCTCCAATGTGTTTAGAGGGAAACAAACTAAATTCCATCAACAAGGGCCTGGCTATCTGATAGTCCATCCTTCTGAGGAAGGAAGAGGAGGCCAGTAAGAATGAGACTGTGGAAGTCTATCGCCATGGGAACATATCAGCCCATCCAGACACAGCTCCACGTGAAGCAGGAAGCCAGACGGAGGCAAAGATGGAGCAACCCAGCTCTCTCCAGCTCCATTCCCAGCAGAGTCCAGACAAGGAGCCAGGGCTCAGAGAGGCGGCAGAAGCACCAGAAGCGCCTGGGTAACTGGGCGGTCAGCACACACGCTAGGCCTGGAAAGGAGAAGGCAGGTGTGGCACAATGCCTGCCCTGGGGGTCTCAGAGAGTACAGTGACCCAGGCACCACATTCCTGAGGCAGGCAGAAGGGGACGTGATGTCGGACGTGGGTCTTAAAGACTCTTTCGCACGGCGGGGCGGGGGGGGGGGGGCGGGGGGGGCGCCAAAGATCTTGGGCACTGTAAGAGCCCAAGAATGGGGACAACCTAGATGCCTACAAACTGGGGAAATGGTTAAATGAATGTTATGTAAGGAAATACCATGTGGCCTTCAAAACTATTTTAATGAGGCAGTTCAAACTGCGGATATAAAACAATCTCCGAGAAATGCCATAATGTGACAAAGCAAGAAGACTGAGGCCACCAGCCTGAGTGACAGAGTGACTCTCCGCCTCAAAAAAAGAAAAAAGAGGGAGTCCAGCATGGTCCCACACGGCGGGTGCCTTGAGAAGGGTACGACAGTTCCAGAGGGGAACTGCGACCGGCCCCCTGTGCGGTTTGAATATTCCAGCCCACGCCGGCCCATGGTACTTTTAGTTCTTAAAAAACAGGCAAGATTTCATCAGGAAGGGCAGGGCACCCAGGCAGAGGGAAGGGTGTAAGCCAGGCGTGGCCGACAGCCCGGACTCAGAGTATGGGAACGATGAGCATGCCAGTGGCTGGCACACAGGGCACAGAGAGGGCACAGCAACAGAATGGGAGCCAGAGACAGACTCAAACCAGACCCAGGGCTCTGAATGCCACACTCAAAGGAGACGTTATCATGCAGCTGTGGGGGCTCCCAAAGGAGGTTAGAAGCTGGAGGTGGCTGCTTCGGTCTGTTGGGAGAGCAATTTTTTCTGAACCCTTTGCAACACCTACCACAATCCCTCGCATACCCTAACAGCTCAATACACATCTCTGGGATCAAGCTAAATTACAGCGACATCTGAAATGATCTGGGCACATTCTCAGAATTTGTGAGGCGAATCCAGACCAACACAGCCCAGCATGCTCTGGAATTTCCTGGGATTCCTATGATCTACAGCCCCGGCCTAGCCAATCTCACTGGGGAATGCCAGGACCAGGCCAGAGACTTACAGCCCAGTCTGCAAACAGGGTCAGGGTCTTTCCGAAGAGAAGACAGGGGCGGGGGTGCTATGGCCATGAAAAAGATAATAACTGGGTGATCCCACAGGGGGCAAAGCCCTCCCAGAGGCCACCTCTGGGGCACAGACCTTGCTGTGGTCTAGTGGGTTTTCTCTTAACCTATATCAAGAAAAACTTCTATCTACTGAGCACCTACTATGTACCAGGTGCTTTACACACATTAGCTACAAGCCAGGTTCGATTAGCCCCATTTTACAGCCATATATAGCAATTCGCCCAGTCCAGGTTCAAAGCTGGGATCTGAACCCTGGTGGGCCAGCACGTAGGTCTGCACTGCCCACCAGTGCCTCGCCTCTCCATTCCCGCAAAAAACCCTTCAAATGCCCAAACTACCCACAAGAGTTCTTAGCACTTATTCCAGAGAGATTAAGATTTACATTCACACGAAACCCACACACAAATGTTCGTAATAGCTCTTTATTCATAAGAGCCAAAACCAGGAAATACTCCAGAGGCCCTTCACTGGGTGAATAATTAAACAAGTGTGGCAGGGACAGCCACACTGTGGAATACTACCCACCAATAAAAAGGAACCAACCAGAGACACACGCAGCAACATGGATGAGCCTCCAGAGACTCGGGCAGGGTGAAAGAGCCAGTCCCCAAAGGCTTACTATTCTAGGAGTCCGTTTATGTCCCTTTCTTCAAATGACAAAATTACCGAATGAGCGAAGAGATGAATGGCTGTCAGGGGTTGGGGCGGGGTCGTGGGAGCAGGAGGGAAGCGGACGTGGCTTTGAAAAGGCAGCAGGAGGGATCCTTGGAGACGGAGATGTTCTGTGTCTCGACTGAGTATGTGACAATTTTCTGCTTGTGACACTGCATGAGTCTGGCAAGATGTTACCGTTAGGGGGCAGTTGAGTGGGGGGTATGCGAGATTTCTCTGTATTATTTCCTGTAACTGCATGCGTGTAACATGATCTCAACATAAAAAATGTAAATAAACCCCAATCTATGCATTTATCAAAATTCATAGAACTAAATACCAAAAGACTGGATTATGCTATTTATAAAATTTTAAAACTTTTTTTAAAGCCCACTGATTATAGCAGGGAGACCATGTGCAAGGGGAGGTGGGGGGAGTGGGTGTGTGCTGTGGAATTTGGCAGCCCTGGTCTTCGCCTTCAAATCAGTTGGCTTTAGTTTCCTCATCTTTACAATGAGGGCGAGGCTGGTCACAGTGGCTCACACCAGTAATCCCAGCATTTGAGAAGCTGAGGCAAGAGGACTGCTCGAGGCCAGGGGTTCAAGACCAGCC